GGAGGAGCAGAATTCAAGCACAGCATGCAGCATCTGCCCAGGTTGCCTCTTCCCAGGCTCCTGCAGAGCCACTTCCCCGCTAACTATCATTTAATTTCCACTACCTGATTATTCAGGTGGTCCCTTAACCACAGGCTCCTGCCCCGGCACCTTTGCGCAGCACTCTGGCTCCCTGCTTGCCTGCAAATGAAAAGTTCAGTTCACATTTCTGGAAGCAGCAGCTGAAGTTTTCCAAGCCTTTGGGTAAAAAATACAAGGAAGGAGATGTCGCTAAATCTCCCAGCCTGCTCTAACTCATCCCACTGACTTTTCCTGAGCTTTACTTACAGCCTCCTTTGTACCAGCCAAGCCTCTAAGTGCCAGGGCATGTGCAGACGGGGCAAATGCCTTACTTAGGTGTTGTGAGGCTGACGTTCTTCTGCTACACCACAACTCTGAATCTCCAAACCCATTCTCTTTAAAGGCAAAAATAAAGAAGACTGGGCCAAAAATCTGAAAATGGACCAGTTTGAGTTGCTGTGCACTAATGGGCAACGGGCAAATGTCATGGCTTACAGGGATTGCCACCTGGCCGAAGTTCCTACCCATGCTGTGGTCACGCGTCCAGAGAAAGCGAAAAAAGTCCAGGAGCTGCTGGAGAGACAAGAGGTTAGTGGTGCTGACAGCAGGAGACGTGTTCTGGGGTGGCTTTTATGTGGCATGTTGGCGTTTTTAGAGCCCTTGATGCTCTGAGTTTCCCTGAGTCAGCGAAATGTGGAAGGCTTTAACTTACCGATATGGGGTGACAGCCTCATCTCTTAGCCTCCCCCTTCCTCTGTCCCTTCCAAACTGCTCTTTCTCCTCTGCCACCTTAGCAAATACCCCTTCAGGTAACAGCCGGATCATACTGGTTGCTGTTGTCATGCTGTACTTGTATGACATGAGATTGTCACCTCCTCCTCCCCCACCCTGGGGACAATCTTTTTAGCAGGGCTGGCTGTGACAGGACAAGGGGCAATGGTTTAAAACTAAAGGACAGGGGATTTAGACTGGATATAAGGAAGAAATTCTTTACAATGAGGGTGGTGAAACCCTGGCAGGGGTTGCCCAGAGAGGTGGTGGAGGCCCCATCCCTAGGAACATTCCAGGCCAGGTTGGACAGGGCTGTGAGCAGCCTGACCTGGTTAAAGGTGTTCCTGCTCCCTGCAGGGGGGGTTGGGCTGGGTGACCCTAAAGGTCTCTTCCAACCCAAACCACTCCGTGATTTTATGATTCTCAGGCTATGCCTGCTCTTGCAAGTGTGTTTCAGAAGCTCCTCTGAGATGCCTGGTCTCCTAAGTCCAGCTGGGTCAGGCACCAAGCCGTCCAGCCCCGGGAAGACAGCAGTCTTACAGCTAACGGTGTACATGTAACTGGGTTAAACCACTTCTGATTGATTTTACACTGAAAACATTACTATTTGCTCCACCCATCAGGGTCTGCTCAGAGGCACTTGGGAAGTCAGCTCCTTCGCTTTTGACTCCTGGCTAAGGCACGGGACCTGCTGGCAGCATCTGCTGATGGGCTCCCCATGTAGTGACATAGAATCATGGAATTGTTTGGGTTGGAAAAGCCCTTAAGCTCACCAAGCCCAACTGTTCCCCTAACCCTGCCATCCCACCACTAAACCCTGGCCCTAAGCACCTCATCTGCCTGGCTTTTAAATACCCCCAGGGGTGGGGACTCGACCCCTGCCCTGGGCAGCCCCTTCTAGTGCCTGACAGCCCTGGTGGGGAAAGAATTTTTCCCAATGTCCAACCTAAATCTGCCCTGGCACAACTTGAGCCCATTTCCCTTCGACCCACAGCCCGTTCCCTGGGAGCAGAGACCGACCCCCTCCAGCCCCCGCCTCGTTCTCCAGGCTGAACACCCCCAGCTCCTCCAGCTGCTCCCCAGCAGCCTTGGCCTCCAGACCCCTCCCCAGCTTCCTTGCCCTTCTCTGGACACGCTCCAGCCCCTGTGTCCTTCTGGGAGCGAGGGGTCAATGTTAAAAATGGGGGACATGTTAATAGAGGGGACATGTTAAAATGGAAAAAAAAAAAAAATTATTTTGGCAGTCGTGCCACAACGGTGCTTACCACTGAGAGATCCCTCATTTAACCACATGGACGGAAGATTCAATCCTAAATTTCTGGAGCTTGGCTGGGGGCTCCCCAGGATGATGGCAAAGAACTGCGACTGAGACCTTAGGCTTATATGAGCTGATTCTTGCCAGTTTTCTACTTTTTACACATACCTACCTCTTCGTGCCTTTATTTCAGAAACTGTTTGGAACAAAAGGAATCGATAAAGACAGGTTCAAGATGTTTGAGTCTCAAACTAAGGACCTTCTGTTTAAAGACTTGACTAAGTGCCTGATCAAACTCCGTGACGGGACAACATACAAGGAATTCCTTGGAGATCAATACTATGCTTCAGTTGCTAGCCTCAATACCTGCAACCCATCAGGTAACCATAACAGCCCTGGGAATAAGGCCGTGCGCCGCAGTTCTCAGCCTCACAGGCACGGACAGTTCCTTCTGCAGCTGTCCATTTCATTTTTTAAAGCAAAATGAGGATAGCTGATGGAGATGATGGTATATTTTTCTCAAAATCCTTTGGAGGAATGGAGAGTAGTCTGGAAGTCTGCTGCTCTGGCATCACGGGGAATCCAAGATTTATTTACTCACCTTTAGAAAATACGCACTTTGAGAAATGGTAAAAAGAACCCATCCTGGCCCATCGGCGTGTGCTCAGGGCCATCTGTGGTTCATACACATTTTTTGTGGCATGCTGAATATATTCTCCACGCGATGACGTTGTTGGCATGGCCGGGTGTGTGTTGGTGGGATGGGAAGTGTTTAAAGGCAGGATCTGGACTTCTCCCTGTCCTTTCCCTTTTCAGATCTCCTCCAGGTGTGCACCTTCCTTGAGGACAAGTAGCGAGATGGGGAAGGACCCTTGCTGGAGGGGGAGGAAACTTCAAGCCATGACTCCTCTCGTGCCCTCAGCACCCAACACTGACCTGCAGAGGGCCCTCTGCCTTCACCGCTTTCTCTGACCTTCCTCATCACTCTGGAAGGGGCTGTTTGAGAATTTACTGTTCTCTGCTGCTGTCACAGCAAGAAATAAAACCTCGAATCTAAATGGGTGTCCTGCAATTTTTCAAACCAGTCCTTAAACCCGTTCCTTCCTTGGTGCCTCTCGCTGTAGGGCAGTGCCAGATACCAAGGTGGCTATCATCACTTCAGGCTATTCCTGCCCGTTAGAAAAATTTGTTTCAACATTTGCCAAAGCAAAATGGGTTAAATATGCCCTAGAGGCTCATTAACAGATGTTTTGTACTCTCCATGCTGCTGCTTCACTCAGGTTATCCCATTATCTCCCCAGCAGACGACTGTTGCCCAGTGTGGCCGGGACACAGGAAGAGGGAGAGGGTTTATGCCAGGGAAGCTGAAGGGTGGAGATGGAAAAAAAAAACCAACCCAAACAAACAAACAAAAAAATATAGTGGTTGCAAGATGGGAGGTGTGAACAGAAATCACTCCATCTCGTATCTCAGGTGGCTGGATCTGAGTCATTCCCGCCAGGCAGATACTCTTAAAACACACAAGTATATCGACGGGGAGAGTCCAGGCTTAGACTTCCCATCTGAAAAAAAAATAATCTCAGACTTAGAAACAGGCTTTGGTAGCCTGTCCAATGTGCTGCTGGGCTGAAAACACACATGTAGGTGGGCTCTGACCCACAGTGAAAATAAAAAGGCAAGACGAAAAGGTCTGCTGAGGCTCTCTGGTTCAGAGGAACAGGGTCTGGGGTAATCCAGCTGGTCCCAACCCCATTGTTAAGGCAGACATGGAAGAGCTGCTGAGGGCAGAAAGCTGCTAAGAGCTTCTGGCTTTGTGGGAACGAATATTTTGATGTGCTTACAGGGGTGATTTTTGGATGTGTTGCGAGAAGCCCACCAGCCTGACTGAAGATCACTTTGGAAGACAGAAATGTGGAGTGGGAAGCAATGAAATGTAGGTCCTCACATTTATGTAGGATGACTTCATTGGACAGATGGCTTTTTTAACTTGTCCTTAAAACTAGCAAAGAAAGAGAAACAGTGCCTCTAAGAGCCCGCTCCTGCAAACTAACTACGGCCACGGTTGGAAAAGTCTCCCCATGAAAAGCTGTGTCACCTGTACTCAGTGTTGGGTGTAACCCCTTGTCGCATGAGTGGAAGGCATGGAAAAAAGGAACTTCGCTAGAGGATCACAGCATAACTCAAGTGCGAAGGGACATCTGGGGGTCTCCAGTCCAAACTCCTTCCCAAAGGAAGGAGTCAACCAGGTTGCTCAGGGCTTGACCCAGTCAGGCATGGAGAACCTCCAGGATGGTGCCTCACCACCTCGCTGGGCAATCTGTCCCCACTGCTTGGCAGCCCTCAAGGGGATGGAGTTTCTCTCATGGCTGCTCCTGAACCTCCCTTGTTTCAACATATTCCCAATGCTCCTTATCCGGGAAAAGCCTGGCTCCATCATCCTGATGACTGGTGCAAACACAGCCATCTCTTCTCCAGCCCAGCTTCACCCCACAGGGCGAGTCTCCAGCACACACACCCCTTCTCCCCGCCCCTAGAATCATGGAATCATCGAAGTTGGAAAAGACTTTTACGATCACCAAGCCCAACCATTCCCCTAACCCTGCCAGCCCACCACTAAACCCTGGTCCTAAGAACCTCTTCTGCCCAGCTTTTAAATCCCCCAGGGATTTGACCCCTTCCCTGGGCAGCCCCTTCCAGTGCTTCAGTCCTTGCGGGGAAGACATCTTTCCTAATGTCCAATCTAACCCTCCCGACACCGCCGCCCCCCCGGTCCCCCCTCCTGTCAGGCAGTTGTAGGGAGTGATAAGGGCTCCCCTCAGCCTCCTCTTCTCCAGGATGAACACCCCCAGCTCAGATGCCCCCCAGCAGCCTTGGCCTCCAGACCCCTCCCCAGCTTCCTTGCCCTTCTCTGGACATGCTCCAGCCCCTCCGTGTCCTTCTGGGGGTGAGGGGCCCAACCCTGAACCCAGCATTCGAGGGGCGGCCTCACCAGTGCCCAGCCCGGTGTCTCTCTCCCGGGCTTGCCATCGTTCACGGATGCGTTGCTTGAACCAAAAGCAGGCGCAGGGCCAGGGTGCGGCCTAGCATCTCAAGATCTTGGAGTCCCAGACCGAGGACGCGGTGCTGGGCAGAGGGGACAGCCGTCTCCCGTCTCCTCCCTCCCCTTTCCCGCCTCCCCAGCGGCCGCAGCCTCCACCTGGAACTACAGGTCCCGGCAGC